ATGTAGGAAAGTGTAGGGCCTCTACTTAGTGGGGAAGGAGAGTTAATAATTGATGACACCTGAGGCGTTAAATGCTTGTTATGCCTCAATCATCACTAAAAAAGATTAATGGTGACCAGATACTCAACACAGTTAATACTAACAACAAGGGGGAAAGAACACAAGCCAACAAAGGCAAAGAACAGGTTAAAAATATGTAGATAAATCAGTTGTATTCAAGTCAGCAGGGCCTGATGAAATTCTTCCTAGAGTACTTAAGGCACTAGCTGAAGCAATCTGAGAACTATTAGCCATTATCACAAAGAACTCATGGAGGACAGGTGAGGTCCCAGTGGACTGGAGAAGGGCAAACATAGTACCTAGCTTTAAAGAGGGTAACAAAGAGGATCCAGGATATTATAAACCAGTCAGCCTAACTTTGATACCTGGAAAGATATTGGAACAAATTATTAAACAATCAGTTTGTAAGCACCTAGAAGATAACAAGATTATAAAGACCAGCCAGCATGGCTTTATCAAGAAAAAAATCATGCCCAAAACCAACCTAATTTCCTTCTTTGATAGGATTACAGGTAGGGTGACCAGATAGCAAGTGTGAAAAATTGGGATGGGGGTGGGGGGCAATAGGAGCCTAAGAAAAAGACCCAAAAATCAGGACTGTCCCGATAAAACCGGGACATCTGGTCACCCTAGTTACAGGCCTAGTGAAGTTGGGGGTTGGGGGAAGTGGAGGGCAGGGAAGCAGACTTAATACATCTTGATTTTTAGTAATTTTTTTTTAACACGGTCCCATATGACATTCATCTAAGCAAACAGGGAAATATGGTCTAGATGAAATTACTATAAGGTGGCTGCACAATTGATTGAAAGACTGTACTCCGAGTTATCAATGGTTCATTCTCAAACTGGGAGGATGTACTTAGTGGAGGGGTATCTCGCAGCGGTCAGTCCTTGATCTGGTGTTATTCAATATTTTCATTAATGACTTGGATAAAGGAGTGGAGACTATGCTTATAAAATCTGCAGATGACACCAAGCTGGGTGGGGATGTAAGCACTTTGGAGGACAGGATTAGAATTCAAACCAACCTTGACAAATTTGAGAATAGGTCTGACGTCAACCACTTCAGTAAAGTGCAAAGTACTCAGGGCTGGCTCCAGGCACCAGCCTTCCAAGCAGGTGCTTGGGGCGGCAATCTGCAAGGGACGTCAGTTGGTGTGTTTTTGCCCCCAAGCAGCGCGCCGAATTGCTGCTGCGGACGGCGGGGGCAGTCCATGCGCCGTTAGGGTGGCACGCACGTTTCCACGGCGGCAGCAATTCGGCGGCAGGACAGAAGCTGCCGCTGAATTGCCCCCGCTGCGGAAATGCGCGTGCCGCCATAACAGCACACGGACTGCCCCTGCCGTCCGCAGCGGCAATTCGGCGCACTGCTTGGGGCTGCAAAAACAGTAGAGCCGGCCCTGAAAGTACTTCATTAAGGAAGGAAAAAGCAAATACACAACTACAAAATAGGGAAGAATGGGCTAAATGGTAGTACTGATTAAAAGGATCTGAGGGGGTATGGTGGATCACAAATTGAATGAGTCAACAATTTGATGCAGTTGTGAAAAAGGCTAATATCATTCTGGTCGGGGGGGAGGTATATTAACAGGAGTGTCATAAATAAGACGTGGGAGGTAATAGGCCTGGTCTACTCGGCACTGGTGAGGCCTCAGCTGGAGTACTGTGTCTAAGTCGGGGGGAGCCTACGCTTTAGGAACAATGTGGCTAAATTGGAGCGAGTCTAGAGGAGAACAACAAAAATGATAAAAGGGTTAGCAACCCTGCCCTCTAAAGAAAGATTAAACAAACTGGGCCTGTTTAGTTTTGAGAAAAGAAGACTGGGGGTGAACCCAATAACACTGTTCAAATACATTAAGGGCTCTTATAAAGAGGACTGCAAGCAGTTGTTCTCCATGTCTGCTGATGGTAGAGCAAGCAGTAATGGGCTTAATCTGCAGCAAGGGAGATTTAGGTTAGCAAGTAGGAAAAACGTTGCAACAATAATGGTAATGAAGCTCTTGAATAGGCTTCCAAGGGGTGTTGTGGAATCTCCATTGCTAGAGGTTTTTAAGAACTGGTTGGATGAACATGTTGCAGAAATGGGTCTAGGTTTACTTGATCCTACCGTAGTGCAGGGAGCTGGACTTGATGACCGTGCAAGCAAGGTCCCTTCCAGCCCTACATTTCTCTGATTCTGTGCAGTCTATAAGATGACAGCTTTGTAAATACTTTTTTATATATATAAACAAGAGCCTCGCAAGCTAACCTGATCCTTATTTGAGTTTTCCCTCAGGTCATTCTGCAACACATGTGGGTGGTCACCAGCTGTTTCTCACCTCAGTCAAGCCTCTGGTTGGATACAACGGCACCTACGGTTACAGAAGAAACACTCCATCTCTGCGCAGGCAGCCTTCACTGTTTGGGCTAGTCACCAACTTGCCAATTCACTAAGGGCTGGTCTATGCAAAAATTTGCACCAAACTAACTAAATTGGTTGTAATCCACACTTTATTTCAGTGCAAGTTTGTGTGTTGACACTCTTATTTTGGATTCAGAGTGTCACTTTTATGTGGAATACACTGCAATATTATGGTGCTGAGCAGCAGAAAACCCAGTGTCTTGTTTTGATTTTTGCTGGTCTGGGTTGAAGCTACATTGAAATAAGACACTTGTACTCCACAATAAGAATGCACACACACAGACTTGCAGCAAAATAACTCAAGGTGTGAATTAAAACCAAGTGTCCTAAGTGCTTAGGAACTGCACAAAGGTATGTATAAGTTTATACAGACATGTGTTTGACAAACAAGTTACTGAAAATATCTTTTGCACAGAAGCCTTTGCACCCATTGTGATCCAATCTCTGAAATGTGTAAAAAGATAGCAAGTCAAATGCTTCTGTGGATCCTTACAGTGAGTGGACGAGGCTTAGTTCTGATGCTATTTTTGCATCAGGAAGTACCTAGAGTGAAACCTTTTACCCATGTCTGCTAATGGCACAGGCACAAGGGCATTGTTTAAGGAGGAAGTGAGCTGCTCGTGCATCTGAACCATGGTTCCTTGAATGGTTTTAAATATGATCGAGGTTTGGAGTTTAAAAAACCATTTCCAACTAAGGCCACTTAAGATTTCCTCTGTTAACAGTGTTTAAAGCCACAGTAGAATGAAAAAGTGATAATGTTTGTGTAAAAACACCTAGCTTGTTTATCCCTGCTTCAGGGCAGCATTTCCTTACCAACATAACTGGAGTCTGAGAGCTGAGTTCTGCTCTGTGCCAACACTACCACTGGTACCAGGACCACAATGGAAGTGGCTTGTGTCTTCCCTATTTAGAGGCTGCCAGGGGCTGGTTTGGACCCCAGTGCAGATTAGAACAGCCCTAAAGTGCACCCTCCATTTCCATATCCCCTATGTGCACTGTGGCAGTGGGAAACAGCCAGGATGTAGGGCTGCCCCAGCCATCCATCCTTCCGCCCCCTCAATGCTGGGGGCTCCTGAGGGCACGGGTGAGGGCTGAATAGTACAGAGACAGATTGGTGCCTGCAGAACAGGTTCCCTGTGCCAGTTGATATTCACTGGGAGTTTAAGGAATTTGCACCTACCGTACGGCTCCTTTGTTTTGATGTAGCACAGCCAGCACAAAGAAGCTATTGGGCAACAACAAATTGTGCCCTGGCTGTCTAGTTACAGATCTTCCCAATCTGAAGGCTTCTTCACTGAAACTACGACAATCTAGATTAAATTCCAAACAATTTCATTCCATTTTTGAATTATGTTTACTTCTGAACTGTTCGCTGTAGTGGGAAAAGGTCTTCCTCTTGCGCTGCTAGAAGAGCCTAGGGCTAAGGTAACCATGCTCTGAAAATAGGTTTCTGGAAATGGATCACTTTGCCCCTGTAATCTCAAGAAGTGGTGCAATCTAGCTTCAGTGGGGGTAGGTCTGGTCTGGAGAAAACAGGGAACACAAGAGTTATCACACATACTGGTCATACCAGGGGCAATGTACCAAGTGCGTAAATCTGCTAACCTTGTAATAAGTCTCAAAGTCTAAAGTTACTTTCTGATAGCATCCAAGATATGGCATCCTTTAGCTAAACAAGCTAAAATCTCATTTGGAAGATGGGAGAAGTAACAGACAGAATCAATGGTCATTAAATACTTTAGGGATATAAATAAATACTGCTGGGGTGATAGTGGTAAGATTAATTACCCTCACACCTCATTCAATCTAAAATAGGGAGCATACCCTGTGAGGGCTCCACTTGCAATCTCAACCCAATTCAATTCTGGAAGAAGAAAAAATTTGTCAGAATTGAATCTCGGTGGGAATTGCAGCAATTCCAAGTCCATTTGATTCTGTGGTGCCTGTCTGGGGCTGGGAGAAGGTGTTAATACTTTGGACTTACATTACCCCACTGCAGAGCTTTGAATTTCTGGGGTCAGTTGCTTTGTCACAAGTCGCTGCTTTAACGAAATGTCTCTCAGACCTGGAAAAATGCTAATTTGCAGATGTGCATTATTTGCTTTTTAATTAGTATTCAATGAGCTCAACATTAAAAAAGCAAACATTTTAACACTGAAAACTACAGGCCACAACTACTTGGATTTACTTTTTAAAGTTAAATGTATAAATTTATGTTAAGTACAAGGCAATCATTGAGGTTTTTATTTCAACACTTACAAGACAGAGGAACACTTCAATGTTCAATTTCATAAACATTTTGCATTATTTCATAGAAACTTAAACATTTAATCAAAACTAATACATTGTAGACATTCGTAAAACCAAATTCAAATGAACACAAATATTAGGCTAGAAATTACAAGAAATATATTTTTACCAACATTTTCAACATCAATAAAACAAAACTCCAGTGGCACAAAGGATCTGGTAGTGAATTTATGTTTGGTACTAAAATTTGTAGCTTTCACAATAGTACTTAAAGATCCTTCTCCTACTAGTCTAAGCTTGGTTTAAAGGTTAACGAAACACTGTTGATACAGAACCTTTGTCCAGAAGGTCTGGGACCATCATCAAACACATGACCAAGATGGGCATCACACTGCAACAGAAAAACAATCGTTAGTTAAGTGAACACAAATGTCTTCATGGTAGAATATCAGACAGCACTCCATGTTCTGCAGTGCTATTCCACAATTTAGTTAAGAATGACAGCTCAGGGGGAAAAGAAACCCTACAGGCTACTCAGACATTTCTTTAAGAAAAGATTTTCTACACTCACAGCATGAGGTTTGGGATCAGCACAAAGCTAACAGCACGTTCACAAGTTGTAAAGACATCCAAAGGAATGTGAGGTTATGAGTTGTTCTAAGAGATCCCAGTCTTTCCAGGTTAGCAGTAATACACAATAAGATGTACTCACTACAGCACCTGGCCCTGCTCCAGGCAAGTTATGACCTGGTTCTGCAGGTCTTATGCATACAAAGTTCTTGCTAACCTCTATGAAATACTTTGTCAATCCTAGCTTCACACCTCTGCTACATGATGAGGCATCGGGTCAGACAAAGTGTGGACAAACATCCAAGACCTGTTTGTAACAGTTGGTCACATAAAATAATCTCTAGTGAATTGGTGTAATAGATTTTGTTCCTAAATTCCAACCTGAGTGTACTTAAAAAGATGCTCACCTTATCTGCCAGATTGTTCCCTCACCCAGAAATGGATTTTTATAGCTGATACTGCTTTGATCTTGACTCTCATATCTAAATCCCAAGGGATGAGAAATAAAACTTTTCAGTGGTATCCTAACACTCACAGATACATCCGGACAGACTAATTTACTAACTGCATGGATGCAAACAAAACATATCCACAAAGATTTTATAGTATCAGAGGGGTAGCCATGTTAGTCTGAATCTGTAAAAAGCAACAGAGGGTCCTGTGGCACCTTTAAGACTAACAGAAGTATTGGGAGCATAAGCTTTCGTGGGTAAGAACCTCACTTCTTC